AATAAAGAGTCAGTGGCTGCCTAGACTGTTTTCATGGGTTTTTTAACGGGAAGGGCAGAGTCAGTCTCCCTCTTTAAAAAAAACACGCTCTTCCTCCCAACACGTTTGCCAAATGTTCGACACAAACGCGGCCTTTTCCTGCCACGCCGCAGGTCCGTCCTGCTCTTTTAAAGTCTGGATTGTACGTCTAGTAAGACCGGAGGTCTGATCGGGCCAACATGAACGATGCTGGCGTTCAGTAAATTTGCATAAAGCCCTTGCTAATCAGACTGGACTAAAACCTTTGGATAGGTTTGGAATAATTTCCCTGGAATGATTTCAATTTCAATTTCAGAAAACAAAACATATTCTAAGAAATGCTACACACGCCTTAGGTTCGAGACCAAATTCACAAATTAGTCATTCTAACTACATAAATATAAGCATTGTTTTTTTTAAACTGCAAGAAGAATTCAAAAGGAAAGAAACTGGAAAGATTTGGGATATGGGATAAAAATCCTGCTTATTAGACAGGACAATTAACTACCATAATTTCCTTGCCTTTTCAATTTCATAAAACAAAACTTTATCTTACAAAGCAAATGCTGCACCAATATGCCTTCGGTATGAGACCAAACTCTCATGAATCGGTCATAAAACTACATGAATATAAGCATTACACTCTTAAAACGGAAATTAACTTCCAGATGTTAAAGAATTCAAAGGGAAAGAAACCGGAAAGACTGGGATACACATGGGATAAAGACAGAGTAACTTACTGACACAACTCAAGATTTCCCTCCCTCTCTTTCCACACCCCTGCCCGCATGCAGCATATTGCAGCAAAATTCCTCGTGTTGGGAAAAACAGGAACTTTAAAGGATATAAGGATCCCTACTCCTCCCACCTTGCTGGAATAAACGAAGCCTCCTTTCTCTTCACGTCGCACTCTCGCTCCTGCTCAGTTTGTGTGCATCTGGTACAGCAATCAGACTCCTTTCACTTCCCGCTCTCCCGGTGTAAAACGACCGTTGTCATTCCCTATGCAAAGCTGCGAGCTGGCGGCCCATGCCGAGACGGGGATTTTCTCTCAGCAACAGCGCAGAAAGGACCAGCGCGTCTGCTCGCTGCTCAACTATCTGGCTGAAACATTTCCAGCCATTCCCACACCCCTCCCCTCCTTTCCTCTCCCGCAACCAACCCATTCCTGCCAGACTGCCTCCGGCAAGAGCCCGCCCATCCGCAAACTAGCCAATAGCATCACGCATTCCCTCTCTGAGGCTCTGTTGTTGGCCGAGTTTCCCAAAACTGGCAGGCTGACCTCAGAGCTTCCGATGACAGGCTCCTGAACGCTGATCTTAAAGGTATTCCCCCATTTTTACGCCCTGGCAACAGAGAATTGACATATTTTCCCAAACTTTCCCAAACTATACACTGTGACAGAGATGAATCTCTATTACTGGAAATGTTTTATTTACGGCAAGCTAGCAGAAAAGAGCACAGATTGGGCATGTTGAAGGAATAGTTGGGTTAGTAATTCAACAGTCCACTTTAGACATTCTACTATAAGTATCCTCTCATTAATTTGCCACTACAAGTCAACTAACTCTCATAAGAGTATTAGTAGACTGTTAGGTTAGGGTTAGTAGAATAAGTTAACATATAGTTGCAAAGCTAGTAGAATGTTTGTTGGGGAGCATCAAAATAATGTGTTAGCAGATATTAGCCTAGCATAGAGTCTACTAAAACTCTAATGACTTGTGGTAGATTTGTACTGTAGTTGAAAAGTTACTTATCGTTAGTAGAATGTCTAAACTGGACCATCGAAATGAAGTGTTACCAATAGTTGTTCCAACCACGTGATGGACTTTCTTTTTCCTTGGAACACAAAATGAGACTAGTCTGAATGGACTGGGGGAAAAAAAGGGACAAAAACACAATAAAAAAGCATCATAAAAGTATGTCAAAACTTCCATAATCGATCTCACATTTAAATCCACATGTATTCAATATTCATGAGAGCTACTTTTCGGCAGTATTGATTTTTAAAAGATCGCAATCTGGATTCAAACACCCACGCGATCTTATTCATAAATGACAACGATTCGTTGCCATGTACCAGAATGAAACCGCTTCACAAACAGTCTTTTCATTCACACAGTATCACTATTTCTGTGTTACAAATGAACAGTTTGGTTTCAAAACGCAATAAATCCATTTAGATTAATTTGAGTAAAAATGTGTTTTCTTTACCAAGAAAGATTTTTTTTTTTCAAAATGCAATTAATCCATTTAATCAATATAAACGTTTTTTTTTTCATATTGAAACTGTTGAAAATACACAACAACGTAAGTTTATTAGTATAATATTTTTATTAAGAACTGTAAAGAAGATTTAAAACATTTTTCCTCCTCCCGAGTGCCTCATCTTCTTAATCTCCTCACGTAAATGATTCGATTTCGATGCCTTACGTTTCTTACCCACCGCAGAAACAACCACAGGTTCATCAATGCCGTCAAAAAAAATTATTAATTTTTTGTTTGTTTGTTGATCGAAAAGTACAAAATAGATGCCGTTACTGTTTACATTGCGTGGAATGGTGCGTTGTGATTGGTTGAGAGTGGAATGGTGCGCTGTGATTGGTTGAGAGCGGATATATCGCATTCTGCAGAGAAGGGAGACTGGCGTTTGTCGCGGTTTGGAAAGAAAGGGAGAAAACATGACAGAATAACACGGCGGATATCGCATTTTACTTAAAATTAAACATTGACTTTTCAATACCAACCAGATACAATACTGATTTTTGCAGTAACTAAATAGTTTTTTTTAAATGCCGTTTATTGCGCTTTGGAACCAAACTCTTCAAATATTCCCATTATCACAGAAGTACTGGGATAAAGGTTTATAATTCGGATACTGATGTCTATGGTCTTACTTCTTACTTTGAAAAGTAATTTACTTGACACTTCAAATAACGATAGTATCGATTAAATCGTTACACCAGTCGGTGGCGACAAGTGATTGTTAAAAAAATATATATTTGTCATTGAATCATTAATTGAAAAGATTTGCTCAAAATGCTGATTCATCCAGTAATGAAACCAGAGAAGAATTTTTTTAAACAATTAATTAAAAATGTTTTAAATAGACTGCAGCAATTTGTCAGAACCTCTAGTAAATTACATGCTATTGTGTTTAGTTGTCTGTTCAGAATAGTCGGAGAATTGTGATCTGTATTTGAAACACAACAACAAAAAATTATCCAGAATCGTGCTGCTATAATTTTGGGTGTGGTCGGGGGCGGGGCTACGCATCGCAAACGAGATTCTCATTAAATATCATCATTAATTTCACTCTGTTCCTCATGCAAAGCCATCGTATGATTTTTAAAAGACTTTGATTACAGAGCATGGATTATGTGAACTAACTTTATGGTGCTTTTTTTTGTTGTTGTCATTTTTGTAGTTTGGCGGGTTCGATCACCAACCATGCACCTTGATTGCATGGAAAAGAGCAGCATGAACTTTCTGCCAAGTTTCTTCACAGAAGAGTGAAAATAACACACACAGCGCTATGGGGCCGAGTAAATGTTGACAAAATCTTAATTTACTTGTGAACTATTCCTTCAAGATGGCTTTAAAGTGTACATGCCCTCAAGGCAGTGTTTGTGTAGACTTTGAATTCTCTCGCATGTCTAACACCTCCGTCAAACGCAGCATCTCGGTTTTGTGTATTTAATATTTAACATAGGCTATACATACTTTATATATATATATATAAATACAAGTGCACTGATTAGAAAGGCTTGTGTTGTTCAATAAATGTTTAATTTAAGCAATTTTCGGTTTCACTTCTTATTAACTGTTAGATTTTATGAGATGAAAAAAAAAAAAAAAAAGGAAAATCGGCCAAACATATCAACCTAAATAAATTGGCATTATATATCGGCCATCGGCTGCCTCGATTTCTAAATATCGGCTAGAGAAAAACCCATATCGGTCGAGCTCTACCCTCAAGGCAGTGTTTGTGTAGTCACGCCGAAGAAAGACTTTGAATTCTCTCGCATGTCTAACTAACACCTCCGTCAAACGCAGCATCTCTGCCTGCCTCCAAGGTCTCTGCATCCCCTGGCAACCCATCACTATGACAATGAGCATCGTTACCGTAGGGCGACGAGGACACACACGTCCTCCTCTCTCGGCGTCACGTGAGCGATGATGCAGTCGGGTAAAGTGATGAGTCAGAAGCCGCTTCACACTGTTTCCATCCAAATCAATAGAACAGCTGAAGCCTCCTGCTTTTAGGGGCTCAGGTTCCCGCAGGCGCACTGCAATTATGGGACAGCCAGAGTGCTTTTACAAAAGCAACGGCAAACGATGTTAAAACAAAGCAATGCTTAAACATCAATGAGGCGAGACACACACTCGCACTCAATGCAGCTGCCAACTAACCCTGATGACCCTGACAGTCAACTCTATGTGATTACACTAAACACTCTCACTGGTTTAAAGTGCTTATTGCTGAAATTGCTCGTTTGGCATTTAGAATCGAGGTTGAAAACCAAAGTATTTAGTCAAATGATAATGCACAAACAAATTATACAGGTGTACTGTGTTGTTTTGTCCAAATTTATCCACCTTATTTTCCAATGTGGAAGTAGACTATACACTCTCAGAAAAAAGGTACGAAAGCTGTCACTGGGGCTGTACCTTTTCAAAAGGTAAACTTTTGTCCCTTTTAGGTGCTAATATGTACATTTTAGGTACTAATATGTACATTTTAGGTACTAATATGTACATTTTGATTTTAGGTGCTAATATGTACATTTTAGGTGCTAATATGTACATTTTAGGTACTAATATGTAAATTTTAGTTACTAATACATTTTAGGTGCTAATATGTACATTTTAGGTACTAATATGTACATTTTGATTTTAGGTGCTAATATGTACATTTTAGGTGCTAATATATATATTAAGGTACTAATATGTACATTTTAGGTACTAATATGTACATTTTGATTTTAGGTGCTAATATGTGCATTTTAGGTGCTAATATGTACATTTTAGGTGCTAATATGTACATTTAGGTACTAATATGTACATTTTAGGTACTAATATGTACATTTTAGGTGTTAATATGTACATTTTAGGTACTAATATGTCAATTTTAGTTACTAATACATTTTAGGTGCTAATATGTACATTTTAGGCGCTAATATGTATATTAAGGTACTAATATGTACATTTTAGGTGCTAATATGTAAATTGTAGGTACTAATATGTACATTTTAGGTGCTAATATGTACATTTTAGGTGCTAATATGTACATTGTAGGTATAATATGTACATTTTAGGTGCTAATATGTACATTTTAGGTGCTAATATGTACATTTTAGGTGCTAATATGTAGGCTACATTTTAGGTACTAATATGTACATTTTAGGTGCTAATATGTAGGCTACATTTTAGGTACTAATATGTACATTTTAGGTGCTAATATGTACCATTAAGGTACCAATATGCACCCTTTAGGTACAAAAGTGTACCTTTTGAAAAGGTACAGACCCAGTGACAGCTTTTGTACCTTTTTTTCTAGGCTTTCTTTGCATGTGCAAGACTTCTGATTTTACTAAGCCACAATAACTAGAAGAATAACAAAGTTCAGTAATACTTGCGCTACAAACCAATGTGTTTTTGATCATGATGATAATACGTTAAAATAATATGATACAAATACCAGTTTGGAAAATCAAGCCGCATTAACTCTTTTTGTACATGTAAAACAACTGTCTGGAACTGAATGACACCGGAAGCCTCGCATATTGAAGTTACAAATAGATGTGCCGCTCTTACTTTAAAATAAGAATAAGGCAATACTATTTTATAATTTTTATTCTAAGAGAGTATGAAATTATGGAAGAAAATCAACTGGTATTTCTCAAGCATTTCTGTGCATGCATATTTACAATTTAAGGTTCTGCGTTGTTTAGTGTCACGTAAATAATTCAACCCATAATTTCTGATGTAAAATCACAGGATGTTAAAAGCTTATTATAGATTGAGACATTAAGCCTAAATATTTGATATACAAGTTCTAGCGTTCTCCTCATTTATCTGAGCAGCTCTGACTAATACAGCTATTACGTTGCATATCACGATTTCAAGCTCTCGTGAAGCCTTTTAATGATTACTTTATCAAACGTGTCATGTTGTTAATGTTCTACAGAAATGTAAACCACCTCTGAGCTTCCTGTTTCAGACTATAATCGATTCTTTGCAGCATGCCGATCTGTCATGACGATGCTATTGGACGGATTTCAGAGATGACGAGACACAAATCAAGGTTTTGAGAGTATGAACGGTAACATAAATGTACAATAGTGTGTGTCTAGCGTCCTTGCAATTTACCGCTTGCATTTTTCCTTTGCAATCAATCAGCATTGGAGAAATTCTAATAAAGCACAGCATCGACTAAATTAATAAATGGAAATGCAAAGACATTTCATATCCATAAGCATTAATTTAATGTAAAGGTTTTTGCATAGGACAGGCCTGATGCAAATTCATCAAACCTCCATTACATTTACATAAAGATTTCTAGAACAGGGTTTTCTGAGAGTTGCTTTAAATCTGGCATGTCGTACCAAATTAATGCATCAACAGGCCCATCAATACTAGCTTTGCAATGTAAACATTACATTTTAATTACACTTAATACATTTTATTGTGAGACAATTAATAATTCAGCACAATAAGCTACTAAAAATATAACTTTAAAAAGAACATTTTCTTGAAGACCCCTGTTCTAGTCAGCTCTTTTGTTTGTAAAACATGTCTACAGTAAACTGCACATTATACTGAGATGGCAAACTAAATTCTGGCGTCTAAAACCCAAAGGTAACTAATTACCCCTATTAGACATCCTCACTGAATAAGAAGCATTATCCTACATTGAACAACCGTGTGCAGACTATCATCAGACAGAGGCTTAATTCACGAAAACAATGAGAAAGGTGCGATACTTGCTGTGAGGGCAAATAAAAATGAGATCATGGAATTAGATTCCTATTTGGGTCATACTTGCATTATGCTTATTGAGATTTAGAAAAGCATCTTAGCATATATCCTCTTTTATCTATGTCTCAGCACTTTCTCAGGTAACTCACTCACTGCATGTCTCGACTGAAACTTGAAATACAAAAAAAGATGTTTTTGAACACAGAGCCATAACATTTTAACATATACAGTACCATATATCATCATGATAATGTTTTGGGGATATGAACCATGATATATTTGAACTAGTAGCACGTTACATGAATAAGGTCTTCAAAGTATTCATATCCAATACTGTACCATGAAATACTGCACGGAGACAACGACAGACGCACAAACAAAAAACAATATAGAAAGCGCGTGACGTGTAGAGTTCTAGTAGTTGTGTGTTGGTGATGATGATAATGCACTAGCTGTCGGGCTCTCACGTGCTCTGCGCGCGCACGGGGTGTGGCTCGGGATTTGGGAGCGGTTTCGTGACGGGACTAGTCTTGATGGGTTAACCATATGTCAATCTGTACATATCAAGCCAGCAGAGCCAGAAATGTTCGAGATTCGCGGGTTATTTATAAACTGACGTCATTACATTCTCCTCACGCAGCGATGACGGGGAAAAAGACCAGTAGGCAAGTCTGAAGTAACGAATATCATACGTCATCTCTGTGTGTGCGTTACCACACGCAAAAACTATTCTTTAAGCCGTTATTTCGAAGAGAATATCGAGCCTATTTCTGATCTTGGTCGATTTATAACCTTTATAACGAAATGTATGAAGTCATTGTTTTAGAATATAAAATACTTTTAAGATATACATGTTCATATTGTTTTTTGAAGTTCTCTTATCCAAGTTGTTACATCATTAATAGCGTTTAAACTCGCATGGCGGTTTATATAAACTGTCGTGATGATAAGATTCAAATTAATTCCCATCACGAAGTAGCTAACGGAGCGATGACGCGGAAAAAGAACCGTTGATAACTCAAACGATCCTGAAGAATGACCTGTCAAATTATATTTTTCATCGATTTTAACGTCAAAACTCATTGCCACCAACGGTGATTTTACGACGGGGCAGCACGCGGGCGTTTCATGTAACGTAAACATGGAAACTTCTCGGGCTCAATCGCGCACTTTCATTTTTCCAATCCATTTATTTTTCGCTCGGCAACAAGGAGACCATACATTACTAAACCCATGTCGACATCACTGAGCGACGAAGCCAACGGTAGCTAAACACGCTCTCTCTCTCTCTCTCTCTCTCTCTCTATCTCTGCAATGTGCAATGACAAGCACTGTATTGACATTCAACATTTTCTATCGAAAATAAACAGTCAAATATAGCTTTTCGCTACTGAAAACGCGTGAATTTAGCCTGCTGCTTACCTGGTTAACATGACCTGCCGCTTGACCACAAATCACGCAGACAGCAAAAAGAGCTCGATGGAAACTGCCGTAAATGACTCGTTAAGTCAAAGAAATTAAGGCTTGTTTTCTAACCGAAGCGAACATTCTGGTCGGTCCGCGCGAAACCCGATTTGTCAGGCAACTGGTTTAGATTTTAACGCCGAACTCAAGTTAGTTTACCAAGAAGCTGGTCGTGCAACAAGCTGTTCTGACAGATCGTGGGAGGAGGGACCAAGTCATGTGACTGGAAGGGGGGGAGGGGGCGTTTCTTGTTTTAACGGCAAATATACTTAAAATCTATTTTATATACATATTTATTTCATTATTATATGGTAAGGAATTTTAAAAATCTGTTAACAATGTTAGTTTATGGAATGTAGTCAGAAGACTAGTCATATCAGATGTGGTAATGCCCCCCGATTTACAGTCTGAGGTGGTACAGTCCAAATGAATGTCAGGAGCCCTGGGAAGGGCAAGGGTCTGCTTGTTGCCGTGGAAACAACAGTGAATCTCCAGAGGGTACAATGGATGTGGGCTACAGTACTGTTAAATCAACAAGCTAAAGGCCTGTTGTGCTCTTTAGATGGTGACGATTAGATTCAGATGGCTGAATCCGCAACAGTTTACATGTAAGATAGTGAGTGAGAGCCCTTCGCCCACAGGCCCCTATGGCCATGCATTATTACTTTTAAGATGAAGCCCGCAAGTGCATAATTGAAAAGTAATGACAACAATTGCTGGGAAAAACAGTAAATTATAGACTATATTGGGGCAGGTTTATCTGAGATAGATACACAATAATAAAATAAAATGTAAACCATTGGTAACACTTTATTAGTTACACATTACATACATAGTAATAACAGCAAATTATATGCATAATTACAAGTAATTAACCCAAAATCAAACCTTAACCGTAAGTGCATTAATTAATATTACTCAGTACTTATTTGAATATGTGAAATGTAACTACGCCACCTTAAAATAAAGTGTAACCAAAACATTTAATAAATAATGGTGGCAATCTCTGTGAACGACTACAGAAAAAGAGGAAAATGTGTTTTATAGACAAAACTGTCTGTTTTCCTAATCCTCTGGTTTTTTTATTTATTTATCCTTTATTTATTTTTTTAACTAAATGAAATGATTGTACTATATTTTAGTTTGATAATGTTTTTTATTTAATATTTTGGGGGATTTAATGGTACTAAATTATATTTATGCTGGAGTTATAATCCATTTATTAACTTTTTTTTAGCATAGACCTGAAAAGGAAATTAATCTGTCATAAATCTTGACTTCAGTTTTGTCTCTTTTTAAAAACGATACTTGGCAGATTATTGCTGAAGTGAAAAGTTTAAAAAAGTGAACTTGAAAACAGCACAACAATCCCATTTTCAATTCTTATACGAAATATATACTTTCCAAAACACGTTTTACTGAGAAAATAAAAGCTGGAAAAGTTGTGCTCCAAATTTGAGGTTGATATCTCCAAAAATGAGCTTTCAGTGAGATTTTGTTTACACTCTAAAAAAATGCTGGGTTGTTTTAACCCAAATTTGGGTCAAATATGGACAAACCCAAATGTTGGGTTAAAAATGTCATTTAAAATTTTAACCCAACTTCAACTTTCACTTTCAACTGTACATTTTTTTATTAAATTTTTAACCCAAAATTTGGGTTCGTCCATATTTGACCCAAATTTGGGTTGAAACAACCCAGCATTTTTTAGAGTGTAGTACCGAACCCTTCCGAACTCGTTTCCCATTCATTTCTAATGCACTCTTTCAATGATGAACCTAATAGACTGAAGGATAAAACCTTTACCAAGTTTCGTACTATTCCGATAAAGTAAAAAAAAAAAAATCTTTAAAAAAAACTTACAATTTTTGGGTCAAAAATGACTGAACAGCACTAGAGGGTTAAAAGTACATTTAAACACTTAATGATAAATGGAGCAAGATATTATTGACTCGCGTTGTTTGCATTTTTAGTCGGGTTTATTTACTAATGTTAAATCATTTATTTTATTTGAATAAAACCAGCTCATTTTCATGTTAACACAAATGGCTAAACATTTTAATAGCGTAATCAAACAAGAGCTGCATAAAGTAATATCCCATGAGCATAATAGAGAAAACTAATAACCTTACATGGTGACATTGTGTTTTGTTTGGCATTCCCTGTTGGAAAGTGAAAGACTACAGATAGATTTGTTTTCCAGCTCATCTCTTTCCACTTAAAATACATTTTTTGTGGGTTTCATCTATACGTAAAAATCCCCATATAACTGGCCATGACTAGACGAACACCATGTGACAGCAAGACTAAGGTTTTGTATTTGATAAAGGACAGCATGCATGCATGGGAACTGAGAAAATCAGAAAGAAAAAATCCATAATGATGAATATGTCATTCATTAAGACATCTGAACTAAGAATTGTGATGTATTAGCTCTTGCATGAACCCTTAATTGAGACTTTCTGCATTGAAATAATTGATGTGCCAACATTTCTGTCCCTGAGGAAACTCATTAGGTTGGCAGATCATCAATTAACATTGACGTAAAGGTGACTGAATGGCAGCTTTAAAGAAATAAATGACTAAAAAATATGTATTGATGTGTATTACGAGGATGGACATTCAGCCCATTGTTTATCCAAAGACACTAAATAACCTAATGGACTGAAGGATATTGATTTGATGACGATTAGAGGCTGGTTAGAGCACGTCTTTCTCTACAAGGAGACCTGAATACTCTTCTTGTAAGCATTTGTTGCACAGAGACATTCCTAATGATCCGGAACTCACTGATACTATTATTTTCTACATGCCGAGCGCAAATTAAATTATTAGAAGTCAGAACCCAGTCAGCTAATCACTGGCTGCCGGGTTTGGTGCGCTGTGGAAAAGTACTGTAAATGTTCACTTTAAAAATTTAGATTAAAGAGGACCTATTATGCTGTTTTTAAATTTTTAACAGTGTAATGTTGCTAAAAGAGTCCCTCCAGCAGGAGTTATTCTCTATATGAGTGTCAGTGTTTCTGAACTCCTGAAACGCCTCCATCGTAGTCTTGAGTTTTATCCGGGAACGAACACGCCACAATATTCCTCATTTAAATAATTAATACGCAGAATAAAGCGGCGTGGCCTGGTTGAGTTAGTTAGTAGTGTGTTAAACTGGTGGTTATGGAAAGGGGCGGGACATTTCCCAAACACACTCGAAGCGCTCGACCAATCACAACACACTGCTCCAGCCGACCAATCAGAGCACAGTGTGCTTTTCAGAAGGAGGGGCTTCATAGAGACAAGAAGTAAACAGAGCGTTACTGACAGACTGGGAAGAGAGGAGCCGCAACAATGAGCAAAATAATGAGCATTCAAACCTAGAGCCCAAAAACTTCCTCTTCCCCATTTACTCAATATTTGGTTATATAATACAGAAATTCAGCTCTTCGTTATACAGGTTGGGAAATAATCAGCAATATGTTCTCCACGTGAGAGGATCTTCAATAAACGTCAGTTTTCATGCTTCCAATATTTCACACCCATCCAATTAGCACATTGTGCCACTGCATTTGGCCTTAAATATGTCAATGCTTATTTTAAACTGAAGCAACAACAGCTCTGCGATTGTGCAAAAGATCTCAATCAGCATTCCTCAAACCCATAACTGCTGACTTCCTCCCAAACCCTTCCCGGCGTTCACCAGACATCCGCAAACATAAACATCATCACCGCCATCTCCTCCGGGATTAGCCGAGTTACACAAGCGTACACAAGGCAGTTTGCAATGCAGATCACCCAATGTTGAAAACCATTCGAGAGATTTCTTGGCGAAACATTCCTTCCGACGGCCCGGCGATGGTATGGAGCTGTTGAATGCAGCCATAATGACCTAAGTGTGGCTTCTCGCCCTCATGTGAAATAGCATTGTTCGAGGAGGTGCGGAGAGACAAACTGTGGCTTATTATCTTGAGTAAGAGTCTAAACGGAGGTCTAGAGATGAGTGCTAATTCCAGACTTGTGCATCATCTCATCATTTTATAACATTCTGTTGCTAAATTTAAGGCTTGTTAAATATAAACACGGCAAAACCAGAATAAAAAAACATTAGTGAGAGAATCAAAATGTGATTCAAATGGCCATTTCAGGAGTCAAAGCTTCACTAGCGAGCGGCGGTGAGAGATGTAAAGAAGGTTCGCTGGTTAAGCTTCTCTGTTGAAAGGTCGCCCGTTCATGGCTTTAAGCTTTAAACGGTCACCACAAACCCCTCAACATCGATTCATAAAAATCCTACAACATTATTACGATCCGCGTGTGAATTACATTTCAAACACGTGACCTTTTAATACTCTCCCAAAACCTGACGTAAGGCTGAGGCTCCCAGTCGTTGTCCTTTAAGTGACAGTCACACTCTAAGCTGTTTATACTAATCCTATTTAGTAAATAAAAGTAAGTGTTTTTAAAAAATTAGGCCAAAATATTTTCTAAGCAAATATGTGTATGTGCACACAGTCATATACGCAAGCTCAATTCCTTGCATTGTTATGTTCTGAAATGTAAATAAGCGGCACAAGCATTCATGCATGCACGTGTATATGTTTATGGCCTGCAATAAGCAGTTCTCAAAAATAGGTTTAGATCTGCTTACAACCTTATCTGCTGTCCTTTGTTTTATGCCAAATAAGTACATTTGATTTAAATAGCACTTTTAAAGTTTTAATGCAGCATTTATGAAATAATATTGCTGTGATAATTACTAAAATGTATTTATTACATTTATTTCACATTTATTACTTAAATGTATTTATTCATATTAACCTTGATATTAAAATTATGGGGGGGGGGGGGGGGGGGCTTTTGAACAGGATGAAGATGTCCAAATTTTTCTTATTTTGTTTAAATATATATTTTTTTCATTTAGTACTTCGGTAGCAACAGAAGATACTTAAATGTTTCCCGGAAGACAAATTAAGTACAGTTTATAAATGAAGGTATACCTTGATCTTTTATGTAACATATCTTATTCAGGACAGTAGTAAATAATAAAAACATGCATTTTGTATGATCCCTCCTAATTTGTTAAAATAATGAACATTTTGCAGATTCTGCAAGGTGTAGGCTATATGTAAACTTTTGAGCATGATGTACGAGTTTTGCAGAAATGTAGAGGCATCTTTTTCCAATGAGTTTGTGTTGCAACATATTTGTCTGTAACCA